CAGTGGGGAAGAAAGGTTATGGATGTAGAATGTCATATATGCTGTCAGATATGGTTCTTATATTTAGTGATTTTGCTGCATTTCTTTTTTTCCCCTTTCCTTTCAAATCTTTGTTACGATCAATAGCTCGCTGGGAATGAGTAGAGAAGGGGCATAATTGGAAATGAAGATCATGTAAAACAATAATATCAAGAAAATCAGATTAGAAGATATTAACATGTGTACCACTGATCGCTGTGGACAGCTATGGCTGTGGAGAGTGAAGTTGACCAGCCAATATTCAACACTGCTCTCTCATTAATGCTCCCTTTGCCTTTTGAGATTTAATAAACCATACTCTACTATAACAATGAATTGGGGGGTTGGCTTTTTTTTTTAGCATGTGGGCAATATAATACAATTTCCGTTATATACCATGTGCCTTTTCTTTGTTGCTTTGTGGAATTTATATTGCATGAAAAGTTAGAGTATAATCACAATGGCTCAGAGCCCCCAGTTAGGAAAATTCCAAACATTTAGGCAGAGGCTTGCTTCTTTACCAATTTAATTTTGTATTCATATCTAAATAACCCTTGACCTTTTTATTGTTGAGGTAAAATTAATATATATTTTTATATGTGTGCATATATACACATATACACACATACTTTTGTGTATGTATATGTGTGTGTGTATGTATATAAAACTGTAATGGACAGGAATCATATGGAAGAGTTGGGCAGAAAGCAGATATTTTCTAGGAACTTTTATTATTCTTTAAAGAGGTGGGTATAATTTGTGTCTCTAGCCTGAATCTTCTGTTCCAAGATGCCTATAGCAGACAATGACTTTTGCTTTTCTGTCACAGATCAATTCTACTTTTATTTCTTTCATTTATTTCCCCATTGCACTCAATTTTTGAAGAATAGCCCTTAAAAAAAGGAGTGCATAAAGACGTTGTATACATTTGACAAAAGTCTCAATCTACGGACATAGTTAGCATTTGAGTAGCAGATCTATAAGCCAAAGTGAGGACTGAGGGCTATAAACTCCCACGACTCAAATAAGAGGATTTTCCAATTCATCTGCAGAAGTTTCACTTCACCATACCAATTTATCATGGGCTATTATTTGAGGGGTTTTAGAAGCAACATTGCACAGTGAATAGAAAGTGAGACTTAAACTCAGAAAGACCTGAGCACAAGTCCTACCTTTGATAGGATTTGCTTCGCAATCCTCGGAGGTCTCTATTTTGTGGAGAGGTCTAAGGTAGCCAACTTTCATTCCCTTCCTACCTCTGCTACTGACTTTCTGGACTGTACAGCTGTGGCAAATCTTCTGTTTTATTCTAGAACTTCCCTTAGCACTTGGGACATTCTCATCCTGGCATATCCTTCTTCCAGGCTGGTCTTCTTCTCCTATTAGTGACTTCCTCTTGGGGTCTCCATTGTGGAAGGACCCAGACTGAACCACTTTCATTCCCTTCCTGGTTCTGCTTCTGACTTTTCAGATTTCAAAAAAACTCATACCCCCACACTCATGCACCTTCCTCTTTCCTCTCCTTTCATTTTTGTGTTGTTTTTCACCGTTTAAAATGTAAGCTCATGGAAGACAAGAGATTATATTTTGTTTATATTTGTATTTACAGAACTTAGCATAATACTTCATTAGTAGTAAGTATGGAATAGCTGCTTGTTGCCTTGACATTAGGCTTACCAGATAACCTCTCAATGCCCCCAGAAAATATTCTGTCTACAAATAGAAAAACAGTTGTTGACTTTTAGTGGAAGGAGTGTCAGCTTCAGGAGATCTGTACATTGAGGAAATCACAGTCCCAGAAAAAATAACAGCATGATGATGATGATGATGATGATGATGGTGATGATGATGATGATGATGATGATGGTGATGGTGATGATGATGATGATGATGATGATGATGGTGATGATGATGATGATGATGATGATGGTGATGGTGATGATGATGATGATGATGATGATGATGATGATGATGGTGATGATATTTCTACCCAGGTGTAAAACCTAGAGCAGTGGTGTCAAACTCACAAAGAAAGGGATCACTGGTACTTACTATTTCTGTGACCTTGAGTAAATCACTTAACCTATCTAGGTCTCCATTTAATCATCTATACAATGGGCATGTGGTGTTTGGAATATATAGCCTCCAGTTCTAGAGTTATAGTTCACCCTCTTTATCCTCCATTACCACATCAAAAATGAATGAGGGCAGTCTTTGTAAGTATTTGGGTTAAGAGATACTTTTGTACCTTTAGGACTGTGTATTTTGGCTGTTCTTGCCATGCTATCTCATGAATCATGTGATGTTCTCATCTGAGACTACTTATTTAGATATTAGTTGTGGTAAGAACCTTAAATCTGCCATTGGTCACAAAGCTTTTTGATTGCCTAAGAGTCAGAACAGAATTCCCACTTGGATCAATTAATTTTTATTCCCAGTGAATGACTAGACCAGTCCCAAACTTGAGGAGACTGAGAAGGTTGTAGTGAAAATAGAGAATTTGGAGAAGGAGGAGGTATGGTCTTTGCAAGACTCTCTTTGGGAGTTAAGTGGAAAGAAGATAATTTGGAAAAGTGAGCCCAATCATTAGGAGCCAACTCAGTCCAGGGAATTATCAAATAGTTAGAAAGTTTAGAAAGCTTCTGATAGCACAAAGGTAAAATTCAAAAAAAAAAAAGGTGTTGCCTGACCTAGCAGACTTGGAATAAAGAGTATGTAAATTTGAATCCTCAGATATTTAGCATTTCTGAGCCTTGATTTTCTAATCTGTAAAATGGAGATAATAATTCTGCCTTTACCTACATAAGTTGAGGATCAAATGTGATAAGCATATAAAATGCTTTGCAAGCTTTAAACAGCTATGCAAATGCCAGCTACTATTATGATTTCTGTAGGTATGTTTGGGGGAGGATAAAGAGAGGGAAAGATAGGTTGAATGGCAAAGCTAGGACATCCCTATAGAGTGGGTACCTTTAGGGATCCAATTATGATATGGCATAGTACTAAGTTTTATGTGCTGGAGGCAGAGATGTTGATAGAGAATATACATGGGAAACCTGAGAGCCCTAGGGCAAAGGACCAAGGTTCCCATGAACAATTCTGAGAAGTATTTGATTCTGAAGAATAGGAACATAAATGCAGAGCTAAAAGGGATCTTGAGATTCATCCAGCCCAGCCCTGTCATTTTGCACATGAGGAAACAGACCCCAGAGGGATTGAATGACCTGTCCAAATGAGACACAGACCCAAGTTTCAGAGGCAGAATTTGAACTCAGGTCCTTCAATTCCAAAGTCAGTGCTATTTCCAGTATACCTTGCCAGGACAGAAGAAGAATTCTTGTATGCATTCTGGTTTTTGGAAGTCCAATTCTGAGTTCATTATTTCAACTTACAACTCACAGTTTGAGTGCATTTCTACCTTCTGAAAAATTACACTAGAGCATCTTCATAAGTATTAAATGTTTGGGTGATTGGGGCCAAAGATAGATGTTTTCAAAAGTTACCTTTTTAAAAAAAAAAAAATCGTGGAATTTTTGCTGATGAAAATGAGGTCATTTAGGTCAGGCATTTTCTCACTTTTATATGTATATGCCAAATACCTAGAATAAGGCCTGGCACATATCACAAAGTAAGTTAATGGCAGAACTGTGACTAGGTTTCCAGCTGAGACTGAGGAAGGAAGGAAGGAAGAAAGGAAGGAAGGAAGGAAGGAAGGAAGGAAGGAAGGAAGGAAGGAAGGAAGGAAGGATGGAAGGAAGGAAAGAAGGGGAGAAGGGAAGGACTTTTTTAAAGTGTCTTATTATGTGCCAGGAACTGTGCACTTTACAAATATTATTTCGTTTGATCCTCATAACAACCCTGGGAAATAGGTGCTATTATCATCCTCATTTAATAATTGAAGAAACTGAAGCAAACAGAGATCTCATGACTTGCTCAAGGTCACATAGCTACTAAAGTGTCTGAGGTCAAATTTCAACTCAGTCTTCCTGACTTCAGGCTCAGTGTTCTATCTATCCACTACACCACCTAGCTGCCCCTCAGCACAAGATGTATGTTATCTCCTTCAAATAAGATCCAGAGTAAGGCTTGAACTCATGACTTTACCTTCCTTCACACCTATACAATTAGATACATAGCTCATACTGAGTTCACCAAAGGCTGTGCTTTTTAGAGACTAAACGTGTTTGGAAGTAGACTGTCAACTGTCTTTGATTTTGTAGGTTTGGAAATTTCTTTCACTGAAGTTATCTGTATCACTTATTTGTGTTCATGTGTATAGGGGGCTACATGATGTAGTATTCTGAATGCTGAGTCTGAATTCAGGAACACCTGCATTCATAGGATCATGTATTAAGAGCTGGAAGGGACCATAGAAACTACTGAGTACAATCCACTCATTTTTATATGAAGAAACAGAAGAATGGAGAAATTTTGTGACTTGTTGTAGGTCAAACAGATAGTAAGTGTGTAAGGTAAGATTTGTACTTGAGTCTTTCTGACTCCATGCCAATTACTCCTTCCATCTTACCAATATCTTTCATCAGATAATAGCTAGTTATGTGACTTTAGGTAAGTGAATTAATCTCTTTGAGCCTCAGTTTCCCCATATGTAAAGTGGGGATAATAGTAACACCTCACAGGTTATGAGGAACAAAGGATATCATGGTTTTAAGTGCATGTAATTAAATTGCTGTGTGACTTTGAGCTATGTTTATTTTATCACATTGAAATGTGAAACCCTGATGGAGGCCCACTAAAAATTTATATTACACAATCTCAACTGAGCCATCAGCATAGCAAGGTAATCCTTAAACTTGTCCCTCATCAGTCCATGATTCCACTCATCAACAAAGTTTTCCAAATCTTTTCACCTCTCCTCAAACTTCTTGTGTCTTCCCCTCCCACCAACCTCTCGACTGAGGACATTGACTCATTTTACTGAAAAAAGTAGGACCTCTTTTACTAGACCTCCCTCTTCTCACCTCCTTTTTAATTCATGTTAATCAGATGCCTTCAACCTCTATTTTTCCTTCCTTTTGTAACCAAATCCCTTGAGAAATCTTTCCACAAGAGGCTCCTCTACTTCCTTTCCTCTCACTCTTCTGTCAAATCCCTGCAGCCTGGCTTCTGACTTCATAATTGAGCTCCAAAATAACCAATGATCTCTTAGTTGACAAATTTAGTGGACTTTTTTCAGTGCTCATTGGCTTTCAATTCTCTGTGGCTTTTGATGCAGTCAGTCACTCTCCTTGCCCCCATACTCTCTTTACTCTAGGTTTTCGCGACCCTGTGCTGCTGGTTCTCCTTACTCCTGCATCACTACTCCTTCTCAATCCTTTTTGTTGGATCTTCATCCAGGTCAAGTTTGCTAATGGTAGTTATATTCCAGAACTCAGACCTGGACTTTCTTTCCATCTGCCTTTATATCCTTATCAGCTCCTGTGGATTCAGTTATCATCTCTCTGCAGATGATTCTCGAGTTTATCTGTCTAGCCCTACCTAACATTTCTCCTTACCTCCAGCCTTGTATCTCCAACTGCCTATTTTACACCCCAGACTGGATGTCTTGTAGATATCTTATGTTCAACATATCCAAAATTAAACTCATTATCCTTCTTTCCAAGCACTCCCTTCTTCCTACTTTTCTTATTACTGTCAAGGGTAATACTATCTTTCCAATCACCCAGACTCACATCCTAGGTGTCATTCTGGACTCTCACACCACACCCCAATACAATCAGTTGATAAGTTCTGCCAATTCTTCCATTTCAACAATTTTTGTGTATGACCCCTTCTCTCCTCTGGCACTGCTACCATCCTGGTATAGGTCTAAATTCCCTCAGACCCAATCTAAGGCAACATTCTGCCTATTGATCTCTCCATCAAGTCTGTCTCCACTTGAACCTTCACTCTATTCAGCTGCCAAAATAATCCTAAAGCACAGGTCTGATGGTGTCATCTCCCCTCCCTCCCATCTAATAAACTCTATTACCTCCAAACTCAAGTACAAAATTCTGTTTGGGCTTAGATTCTTAAAATCCAGCCACTGCTCAGATTCTTATAATCTAGCTAATAGCTCACCAATGTTCTGACTCCTTAAGAGTCTGCCCAATGTGAGGGATTTTCTAATAAACCTTACCTTTGGCTGAAAGAAGGATTGAGTTAAATTCTTTTGGAAGGTCCACATGTGTTGTGATTTCAGGGTCCCAACACCCTGAAACCTCAACATTTTGGTGGCCTGTATGAGGATACTGCCTAACTGCAAGTTCTTCTCCAGCCAAGACTCGAAGGTATATAAGCTTCCCCCACCCTCATTTCTTGCTCTGCGCTTGAGGTTGCTCTCCAAACACCAAGTCTTGGGGTTGCTTTTCGAGCAGATAGTTAGGAGGCTGTCTCGAACACAGCCTGATGCTCTCAGGCCCTCGGTCCACTGGGTTAGTTTGAGGGGCCATGGACCTGGGTACACCTTCTGCAGCACAGAGGACAAGGACAGATGCCCTCTCTGCAAGGGTATGCCCAATTCTGTTAATTCTCTCAGTGCTAGGGAACTGGGGAAAACTGCAGTTGCTTTTTGGTTCCCTGAGGCTTACTTACTCCCTTCCTCTACACCTCTGAATCTTCCTTCATGGAGGTTACAGGGAAAGTTAGAACAGCTAAAAATATCTTGGCAGATTCTGGAGGTTTTGTGACTGATCATTAAGGAGTTTTGAAACTCCTCCTTACAACCCTGGTCACTCTTTTCTCCTACTCTCTTCCCTTGAGCCGAGAGGGTATCTGTTAACCCCTCTCATAGAAGAAGAGTGTTTCACCCTTTACCCCTCACCTTTGATTTTACCCTCCCCCACCTGGGAAAGGAAGGGGGTGGGGGAGGGGCAGCAGCTACAGCAGGGGGGTCCCCAGTGGCAATGGCCTTGGGCCCTAGGGCAACCATTGCTTAGAAGCATCACCCAGGTTCAGCACATCCTGCTCAAGGTAATGAAGATAGCCTCCGAACTTGGGTAAGCAAGTTCTTTTAAATTTGTAGTTTTAACTGTTAATGATGACATGTTGATTCTATGTGTAAAGTAATTTGGAAATGTATTTAACAAAACTGAAGTCACCTGACTGATAACGGGTTTGTTTCAAGTTTCAAACTGGTGAACTTTTTGTCTTGATTATGTCAAGCAACTCTTCATAATTTGGTTACCACTGAAATATTTTGGCTATTGTTGGTTATTGTTTTAATGTGTAAACTAGCCAAAAAGCTTGTTTGGGTTATGTAATGCTTGCTGAGAATTTGCAAGTGTATAGCAATCTCTAATGATTGGCTTTTTACACCAGGACAAATTTAAGTTTGAGATGTAAATCCTGGAGAAGTTTTTCTTAGGCTGTGATTAATGAAACTTTCTGTTTGAGGTAAAAGCTCCTAGGGTTTTATTTTGAGCTGTCTGATGGTTCATAATCCATTGATAATCAATAACTCACCATCTGAGAGAAATGCCACAAGCTACTCAGAGACAATGTGATACTGGTGGGAAGTCAGCATTGGGAAAAGCTGAGAGGACAATGTTAGCCTCAGTCTAATATGGGATCTTCCTGACTCAGTTTCCCTATTATGTTCCTTTGAAAGGGAACATTATCCACCTAGCTATTCCTGAGTCTGGCTATAAGGTAGATTTGATGCTGCATGGTTGGAAAACTGAATTATCTGAATCCAAACAGAGCTAAGGATATTTTATCCTCTCACATTTAGGCCCTAAATATAGTCTCTGCTTTATATCTGAGTCTTGCAATCTTTTCTGTCAGATTTGTGTCTTCCAGACTACAGGCCATTCACCTACAGTTGGTAGTAAACAGAGGGTACCAGCCAATGCCCCACCATTATTCCTTGGATGCAGCCTGTTTTTGGTTCCAGTCAACGTCCTCTTTGGGACCCCCTTGAGGTAGGAACAGCTCTATGCCCCTTGCCAGCAGGATGCAGTTTCAGAAGCCAAGACCTTCTCCCCTTACCCCAAAAGAATTTGGGTCCCATTTGTTTGAGGTGGGGGGATGATGAAGATGGGATCTAGACCCCAAAAAGGAAAAACCCTGGACTTTCCCACATGGCCAAATCTCTGACTTTAGCCTGAGGCTGTAATCCCATCAACTGGCCTTTCTTTGTGGCTACACCCAATCTCCCAATTCTCTATTAACCCTTAAGCTAGCCTAGACCACCCTAAATCTTCAGGCCACTTCCCACTCTTAATCCTATCTAGACTCCATTCTCCCTTAGCCAACCCTGGAGTTCTATTACCTCATAGACTACTTAGCCACTCCTAAATCCTCCCCTAGTCTTTCTCTATATTAGGTCTATCTTGTCTCCATTAAGATGCTTAGATTCTTAAAATCTAGCCACTGCTCAGATTCTTATAACCTAGCCAATAGCTCACTAATGTTCAGACTCCTTAAGAGTCTGCCCAATATGATGGATGTTCTAATAAACCTTACTTTGGCTGAAAAAAAAAATTCTCTGTTTGGCTTTTAAAGCCATTCCTGTCCTATCCCCTTCCTACTTTTCCTAAGTTCTTCTTAGACCTTACCCTTCATGTGCTCTGCAGCCCAATGACACTCCATCTCCCAAATCCTTACATCTCCATTTGGTTTCCTCCCTCCTTATCTCCTCTTGACTTTCCATGGTTTCCTTAAAGGCCCAGCTATATCTCATATTTTACAAGAAGCCTTTCCTTCTTTTTTCTTAAACGTAAGTGCCTTATCTTTTTGATTATCTTCAATTTTCCCAAACATAGCTTGTTAGCTTGTTTATGTAGAGTTGCTTGCCTGTTGTCTTCCCCCTTAAAATGTCAGCTCTAGGAGGACAGGAATTGCCTTTGTTTGTTGCCCTTTTTTTATATACTTAGTCCTTAACATCCTTCCTGGTAGTAGTAGATACTTCATAAATGTTTTTTGACTTGTTGACTTGAATACAAGTCCCCTGAGGTCAAGGATTAACTCTTTCTTCATTTGCACTTGATAAATAGCTTATTGAGTGGAAGTGTTTCTACTGCAGTAAATCAATTTCAGGCTGTTATTTTTGTTTTGTTGTTGAGTCCTTTCAGTTGTATCTGACTCTTCATGACCTCATTTGGGGTTTTCTTGGTAAAGATACCTGAGTGATTTGCCACTTCCTTCTTCAGCTCATTTTAAAGAAAAGAAACTGAGGCAAAAAGGATTAAGTAACTTGCCCAGGGTCACACAGTTGGTAAGTACCTGAGACCCAGATTTGAACTCATGAAGATGAGTCTTCCTTATTCCAAGCCCAGTGCTCTATCGACTTCACCAGCAACAGGTTATTGTATCTGACACAAAGAATATGTATTTGACTCTATCTTTTTGATTCTTATTCTAGCACTCCATCCCCTAAGCCATCTTGCTTGTCTGTTTTTCCTCAAATTCAAGTTTCGGAGTGGACCATTTGTAGTCTGATATACTACATTTTCCTTTTCATCTTGAATAAGATTACATAGCAAACCTAAATGACACCTTCAGCACTGAATAATTCACCATTTAAGTGAATTAAAATAATTCTTTCTTTTTTCCTTAATAGCAAATTGCAGGAAAAGGATCCTTGCAGGCAATTACTACTTAAGCTAGAGAAGAAAGAGTTTCCAACACAAAAGCAGTTTAGTTGACTCTAATGAGAGGAATTGTAAAAATAGAGAATGAAGCATCAATCTAAATGAGAGCTAAACAGTAACAAATGTACAACAGGACAAATATAAGCATACAATAAAAGCAAGTGTTTTGAAGAGAGAAGAGGAGACAAAATTTCATGAGTTTAAGACAAAAATAAAAAAAATAAAATTACATTATATTACCCCAGTATTTGGTCTGTAAGACCAAAATGACTTGTCCAGAGTAACATAACTAATATGTCTGACCTCAGACACTAATTGTGTGACCCTGGGCAAGCCACTTAACCTCTGTTTGCCTCAGTTTCACGATGCATAAAATGGGGATAATAATAACATTCATCTCTCAAGATTGCTGTGAAGGTCAAATGAGATAGGAATTGTAAAGTACTTAGCACATATGTGCCTGGCACGTATTAAATGCTTTATAAATATTGGTTATTGA